AATTATTGATCTTTTAGAATATCTTATTCGCGATATGAAATTATTATCAATCATTTATTTGAGAAAGATACAGATTTTTAGATTAGTTTTATAATTTCGTTCTCTGGGATAAATGTTTAATTGTTATAAAAAAAATGCAATGAAATTAATTGTAACGCGTACACCGTCGCTGTAACAATTATTTTCAGATATACAGATTTCGTCTGGTACAGGAAACGGTTCCGGACTCCGGAAACGCGATAGCGGTCGTAGTGGTCTCGTCGGTCGCCTTTATTTGCCTCGTTCTCCTCGCCGGCCTCTTGGTAAGAATAAAAATGTCAATTTTTATCGAAATTCTTTACTTCCTTCCCTGCTTATCAAATAAAATATAAGATTATCGTTCGCCGCACGCTTATCAGTCAGCACGAATAATTAAAAGAGTCGCCTGGTGCGAATTAATTGAACCGAGAATTCATTGTCAGTTACGCAGGTCTGCGAAAATCTATGCCGTATGAAAGGATCTCCGTTGTTTGCGATTAAAGCTCATTACATGTATTCATCCGTCCACAGTTATGCGATTTCACTCATGGTGTACGTAATTAATACATTTATAAATAGATTTGTGTGTCTCTGTGTGTGTACGTATTAAATTGCAATCACCGACATAAATTATTCATCGAACTTCGTCTTATCATTCGCTTACGTTAAGAATCGACATCCTTGAACATTTTAACGCGATGTTAAACAATCGTACCTGCCGACGAAATTTCCATTCGGAGAACATTCATTTAATTCAACTATCTTATAAGCTTCCGAATCTATTGATAACAAATTAGACGAAGCGTGGATTGAATTTATGATTGCGTATCGAAGTACTGATTTATAATTCGCAATTAAATTGTTTTACAGTTCATAATGAGGAAGAGGCAAACGAGGTTCAACTATGGCGAACGATGTCGACCTGTTTCCTTGGATGCATACAGTTTGGACAGCGTTTCTGCTTACAACAGCGTCAGGCGAAAAGGTGTCGCGAGATCGTCGAAGAGGAGCTACGGCAATCCTACTTTCGAGGACTCGGTAAGTGTTATTCGTCCATTGAAACTTTATATAGCCATCTTCTACTTACAACTAGGACTCTACAAGTCTTTTGTATAAGCGTCTCTTTCCTAGATATTTTTTATGTTATAATAATCTTATGCAAGAATCAATAGGAAATATCATTGGAAATAATATGATATGCATTTATGAGAATATATGTAGTGGTACGTTCTATTGAAATATCGATGAATTGTTTCGTACGTGGGACCAATTACCTAGAAAATTATTATTCTGTTTGTAGCATACGTTTAACACGTTCTTATAAATAATCATTGACAATTCAGGTAATGACGATATATAATATACAATTAGCTAGTTTATATCACAGATCCAAATCACAAATTCAATTAACAGATAGTTCAAACATTAAGAAGATATAATAGAAACTCGCATTTGCAGTAATGAATTTGACAGCTCTGTACTGCCTATTTTTCACTATCTTTGCAACGCCTGTGCTATCAATTATTAACATATTATCGCCATTGTAGATACACATATTCTAAACGTGATTGTAGTTCTTCGCTTGGTACCGTTTCCAAAGATTAGACTTTGAAAACGCTACTAACTCAGGTCTCACCGCGTGCAGGTGACTACGTTCGAGACCCGAGCAGTGGACAATACCCACTGCCCCCTTGCCAATAGATTAGAGATAGAG